ATGATTACTGAGAGCACAAACCACAATAAAGCCATGAAACAGGAACAGATACTATAGATACCACCTCTTGATTACTACCTTTGAAATGACCTGCCCAGTAGTGTAAGCACAAGTAAATATGAGTGAAACTCATCTCCTGAATGATGAGATAGTAGACATACTGAACTAGTGCATCCGCATGTTTGAAAACTGGAAGTTCCTGCCAACAAATTTAAATATTACTATGACAAGCTCAAACGAGCTCTTCCGGTCATTACATGTGTAGACTGTCACAGTGGGGAACTCAAACACTGAGCTGCCCTATCTTAAAACCAACCTACTGAATATGTACAGCAAATCTTTTATTTACTATCCATTTCTTAGATGAGTTAAAAGTATTATTAAACACAGAAGTTATGAATCTCTTTATTTGCCACCATCCATTTTAGGTTAGTATGGGAAGTTCTCTTTTGCTAGACTAGATGTTAAAAAAAAAAAAAAGAAAAAGTTCTGAAATTATTATAAAGTTCAAAATATATGAATCTGTGCCTACAAAAGACAAAATTAATGATCGCTGTATCCAAATATGATTACCTTAAAAGTTCTTAAAATATTATTGGACATCTGAATGGATTAATAAACAAAGAAGAGGGTAGCGCCTGTGGCTCAGTGAGTAAGGCGCTGGTCCCATATACCGATGGTAGAGGGTTCGAACCCAGCCCTGGTCAAACTGCAACAAAAAAATAGCTGGGCATTGTGGTGGGTGCCTGTAGTCCCAGCTACTTGGGAGGCTGAGGCAAGAGAATCCCCCAAGCCTAGGAGTTGGAGGTTGCCGTGAGCTGTGTGATGTCAGGACACTCTACTGAGGGCGATAAAGTGAAACTCTGTCTCTACCAAAAAAAAAAAAAGACAAAGAAGAGATTTTTCAAAGATAATCTCATGAGGAGATGACCGAGCAAGGGACTGTACCGACACACTGCTCATCAGTATGACCCATCTTGTGCTCATGAATGAGGTTAGGCAAAGCTGTCAGAAATGAATATAGCCCACTGTTTCAACAGCGAGACACCAAACTGGTGAATGCAGTATATATATTCAGTTTGGTCATAAGTTAAAGAGCTCTAAAAAGTCACAGTACCAAGAAAATATTTACCAGTACTGAAGTGGCTATCTTCAAGGATCAAAAATAATGTAAGAAATAATGAGAACAACGTGATTAATTGTGAACTGACTATAGACCGGGTAATCATGGTGAAGTTATAAGAGGACTGTCTGAAAAAAGCACACACATCGAGAGCACTGTTTGAAGATCCCTATTATCTTAATGAATGTATTAACACACCAAACTACTTCCTTGTGAATCACCAGCTGACAATCAGCATCCAAATGAGGAAACTGCTATAATTCTTAACTTGAGATTCATTATGGTCTGCAATTTAAGGGGGCTGTGAGCCCTTTGGAATTCTAGGTAAGATCTTGGGTCCGTTTTTCTTTTTTTTTTTTTTTTTTTTGACAGAGCCTCAAGCTGTCCCCCTGGGCAGAGTGCCGTGGCATTA